GTAAATTTGATTCTGTTCAATCTGCGTTTATGTGGTGTGCCATTGCCGCAGACGGTTCGATCTGAAGCGAGACATTTGAAGCACTAACCTGAGACCTTTATTTGATCGCTTACTCCCAAACGAAATCAGCAGCACATGAAATCACCCACACCAAGATTAAAACTGGCATTGCCTTCTATCCGGTAGGCAGCACACAGTCGCGCGCGCACACACACAAACACACACATACACACACGCACAGAGGCATACGGGCACGCCCACACACAGTTTCACACGTATGTGTGCGTACATAAAACCGGATTTTCATCATTGTGCAATGTGCGTGGGATCTGAGCATCACTGATCATCGAAGAAGGTAATATTGCTACGCTGCTTACACATATTTCCCATTTTGCATTCGGAGACTACAACGCTGCACTATCATATTTTTCAATAGAAAAACACAATTCTAAAGAATAGTGTTTTAACTATTGACAACAAACCTTCGGTTATAACACCAAAATGCAAATAAAACTTCAGAGCACTAGCGGCAACCTTGTTTACCGGTAGTTTACTCTATAAATTGGTGTGTGAGGTTCAAATGAACCAAGGAACGGGATCCCGGTGTATCCTAAGTGAATTTGAAAACTTCGTGAAATTTGGGACACCCTAGACTGCGGATGGGACGGACGGACGGACAGACGGGCGGACGGACGGACGGATAGACGCTCGGACAGACAGACGGACAGACGGACAAACGGGCGTACGGACGGACGGACGGACGGATGGACAGACGGGCGGACGGACGGACAGACAGAAAGACAGACAGGCGGACAGACGGACAGACGGACAGACAGACAGACAGACAGACAGACAGACAGACAGACAGACAGACAGACAGACGGACAGATGGACAGACAGAAAGACAGACAGACAGACAGACAGATGGACAGACAGAAAGACAGAAAGACAGACAGACAGACAGACAGACAGACAGACAGACAGACAGACAGACAGACAGACAGACAGACAGACAGACAGACAGACAGACAGACAGACAGACAGACAGACAGACAGACAGACAGACAGACGGATGTGTGGACAGACGGATGGGCATCGAGATGCCTATCAAGGCAAGCATATGCACAAACAGTGTTCATGCTCCGTCCGCCACCGAACGAGTGTACGTTAGGCGGCACGGGCGGACATCGATAGCAGCGCCTCTATCGGTCACTAGGGAAAGCTGGGCTGTAGGCGACGATATACCGGCTGAGTTGTCACACGTTGAAGAGGTTTATAGACATCAGTCTTGTGAAAAAGTTGAACTTTTGTCTTCAATATTTCTACAGGCAATTTTAGAAGTGTCTTTACATAGATTACAAAACCGTTTAGATTATTGTATTCACTTCAAGCCTTCCCTATTGTTCTTGATGATGATGCGGGAACTATTTCTAATTAGTGTTTCTGGCTTAGTCAAAGAACGTATTGTGCAAACGATGAAAAAAGCATAAATGGAAGATTTTAAACGCAATTTTCTCTAACAATCAATGGTAAATTATCTACACATCAAGGAAAAGGTGCATGCTAACTGATAATTTAACGTTCTTGGGGCCAGTTGTTTTCTTCTTTTCTTACGTCGCCCCAATGGCCGCGAATACACTTGTGATAACGCCTATCGAATATGGAATGAATCTCTTGCAAATTCATACGTCTGGATTGGCTACCATCCCAAAGGAAATATACATTGTGCATCCTCCGTTTGTGAGTGTAATGCGCAGTTAAAATGATCATGCATGGGTCAATATTTTGTTATGTCGTTAATAATTAATTTTTTCCCTACCTAACAGCTGTTTAACCCTCGCCGGCCGAGGGGGGGGGGCGGGTGCCGCCCCCCCCCCCCATAGGGTTTTTTCGCGATAGCTCCGAACACGCTGGCGATAGAGAGCTGAAACTTGGCATACCTGACCTTTGATCCAAGCCGCATCTTTTGACACCAACCGCATTTTTGGGTCAGGTCAGGTCACTGACCTATGACGTCATAAGTGAACCTCTGCACGGTCTTCAGATGTCGCAAGTTCGCAACGCCCTCACTGCCAGAGGAGATGTCACAGGGAAATGAAACTTGCAGGATCTAGTATCCATTATGAGTCCCACAAGTTGTATATCTCGGATTTTTCCTAAAGGTCATATGAGGTCAGGTCATTTTCGTGACCTCACCATTATAAGTCAATGGGGAAAAATTCAAACTGCTATTCTGGCGCCGGGAACGATCTCCAACTATCTCAAGCACACAGAATCGTGATTTGATGCACTCCTTGCAAGGTTAGATGCGTCACTTTTGCAATGTTGACCTTGCGTGACGTCATTTATGACGTCATCAAGGTCATTTTAGTTTTTCGTCAATAACTCTAGATCAAATTGAGCTAGCGAGTCGAGAAAGCCACCAATGGACTCAGGAAGGCCTACCGAATCGAATGATATGCGACATGACCTCTTTCGACCAACTTCGTGACCTTGGGGTGCTGACCTGACCTTGACCTGAGGTCAACACCCCAAGTTGACCTGACCCGGACAAAAAGTATATCATTCGACGCGCCTGGACGAGGCGAACACGATGCTGCCAAAATCGGCGCTCTGCGGCCATTTTTTGCGAAGTTATTCACCAAAAACTGAACCGTACCTTGGGGCACTTGACCTGACCTCAGAGGTCACCGGTTGACCTAGGACCTTAAAATCGGGTACCAATCTCTGCGTCTCGTAGCGGCGCACACGCTCGTTTTTTCCGCGATGCGCTAGCTCCACCAGGGGCGAAACGGCGAGGGGGGGGGGGTCGTACCCGCCCCCCCCCTCGGCCGGCGCGTATGTAGAAAACCAATAGGTCCGGCGAGGGTTAAGTCTCTAAACATCCGATCACTCGAAGATAGGTCGGGCTGCGCAGAGGATGGGCACAGCTCCCTCCATGTTCACATATTTGACTGCTTCCGCTGTGACCTTGCTGACTTGGACGTTGTTGAGATTGGAGATGCGCTCTTATATCGGCGGCCGCGACCTTTGCTAACTAAAGATAGCAAGCGTTCGGCTTTTCATCTAATGATCCCGGGGTGATTCGAAGTTTCCATTCAAGAGCTGATCCACGCATGTCTAAAGAATATCATAGTCGGTGGCCGCCAACGACTACGATATCATAAAGACATGCGTGGATGGTGAGCATACGCCCTCGTTTTATATCGCAGGGATCAGCGCCACAATGTTCATTGTCGAGTTGAGAGAAATGCTTCGCCCAAAACCAACGGCTCTGATTGTTGGATGGCCTTTATCGCAAGCAGCTATTAGTCACTTATTACGGAGCGAGCGAAGCGAGCGTAGTCTTTCCTTAGATTAACGGAAATTTCTGAGTATGAGCGGCCGGCCGGCCGGCCGGCCGTGCGGACGCTTTTGCGAGGCTTATATCTCAGCAACCACTTGACCGATTTACATGCGGTAAATTTTGTAGGGTAGCTTCATTCCTTCTACCAAGTATTGGACTATTCCCGATGCATTTGGGTGACCCCTTATGCACGTGCCACGTGCAAAACGAAGAGGTGTCAGTTTTGTAATTGCTGCAATATCTCGGTAACTACTTGGCCGATTGCGCTGAAAGTTGGCATGTAGGTATAGGTACCCACTAGGCACTGCATATCCATGTGCCAGAATTGGGGTGCTGCTGCACGTGCGCACGTGCAGGGGTCGTTTCCAGATCTCGAGAACGGCTGGACCGATGGCGCTCAAATTTGGTACACGGTTAGGGACCAGTTAGTAGGGTGCCGTGCACAAGTCAGTTGGGACCCATTTTGCACGTGCGCACGTGCAGGGTGCCGCTCTCAGATCTCGAGAACGGCTGGGCCGATTGTGCTCAAATTTGGCACATCGCTAGAAACCGGTCAGTAGGGTGCCGTGCACAAGTCAGTTGGAGGTACCCCTCGAAATTTCGCACGTGCAAGACTCACCCCCTCGCTCGCTCCGTTAGTCGCCCCAAAAGGCGCTATACTGGTTTCATGTTATTATAGTGGCGCCACATGTGGTGTTATTCTACAATATATTGTCATCAGTTATCTTTACGTTCATCCACCTTTTTCATCCTTGACCACCCACTTTTGTTCTGATCCGACGCGGACGCCTGACGGTCATCCCAGCAGACAACCGTTACTTGAGCTGGACTCTCTAGAAGGAGCACGTCTCTCAGCTCTTGTGTGACCGTTTCCGCGACTGGGTGGCCTGTCCCTCTGCGCGCCTGTTCCATCAAAATGGGCTCCGGTCGCGACTCGTGTCAACCCAACTTCTACTCTACCCCTTATTCTCTCATTTCAATTTGCACGTCGCAAGGGCACATCGACCGGAAGAACGTGTAGTACGAGAAGTTTCTGTTAGTACGGAAGTTCTCGTATCCAACACTAACATAACAAACAAATAATATCAACCGGCAATGTCTGCGGTCAAGCACTTCATTGCAGCACCAGGTTTGACTGAAAAACGCTAGACGAGTCACTTTGTTTACCGCTTGAATTATAACAACCTGTCATCATCCTTCACTTTAATACAAACTTTGCAATAGCGAAAGCGAAACGTCTCCGATTTTCCGGAAATATGCAAAAATAATACGCATTTTAAACGCGTCACCTCCAGGCTCCAATTTCTTTGCTATAATTTTCATATTTCGTTGCTATACGACTACGTCATTTCGGAAGAAAGGAAATGAAGGAGATGACACTATTCAGTACACTTTCCAGACAAACGTTCCACAATTTCTAGTCCTGCCATCACACCAATTTAGTTAACTCGCGATCGCCCTTTATTGTTGTTGCTGTTTTATTGTTGTTAATCACGAAATATGCACATGTGGTGTAGCCAACAAGCTTTCAAATATCTGGTGAAAGAAAAGCTCACGTCGGTAATAAGACAGCAGGCTTCCGTTTTCCTTCCCCGAGACCAGAGTGCACCCTCTATCGGTGGGGCCCGGTATGGGAAGAGACAGCTCACTTCAGGAGCACATCGCTGGCGCTCCCCGCGGCCGGCGGCACCGGGCCACGGCCTCGACTCGGTGCCGGCCGGTCGGCCCGGGACGCCGTCACGGCTCCGGGGTGCAACACCGATCGGCATAGGCAAACAATTTTGAAGCTCCCCGAACAGCGCGCGGCCTCCAAATAGCGTCGTGTCACCGGCCATGGCCTGGCGCCTCGACTCCTGCGGTGGCATATATAAGCGGTGCAGCCCGCGGGGTCGTCAGTTCGCCCTCGGCGGAACCACAGCAACATCATGCACATCTATCGGGTGAGTCAGCGACTGACACGGCTCTGTCATGAGAGAAAGTGATATCCATAGTCAAAACTTTCATTTTGCATGCGGAATAAGAACTGGAGATGGCGCGTGAATGTTCTGATCTTAGGTACCGATCAGTTGTTAAATATCGTCGATGATGCCAAGGTAATCGATGAGTAGTTCGATGAGCGAGTTTAAACGGCGCCTTTTCCGCTTCTAGTCCATTTGTGTAGCGTTGATATTATTTAGATCGAAACACCAACAACATTATCCTTTGGCATACTTTTCAAAAACGAATTTTTTCTCAACATTTCAAATAATTTTCGCTTTTTACATCCTCAGGATTGTCCGTAAATATTTATCTATGGATGTATTTCAATGCTTCGCCTGTAGTAATCCTATTTTTATTCAAGTTAAATACTATATAGTGACGTTTACCCTTTGTTCCATCTTCCACAGACCTGCAGCGCGCTGCTGCTGGTCGGCCTGTGCCTCGCCGACGGCGGAGGCGGCCGGGGAGGTGGAGGAGGGGGCGGCTACGGCGCACCCAGGGGCGGCGGAGGACGACCCCAGGGACTCGGTGGAGAGGTCAGCGGATTCGGTCTGTCCAACGGAGGAGGAGGTGGCGGTGGATACAGCGGCGGCGGTGGTGGTGGAGGCGGACCGAGCCAGGGCTACGGAGCTCCTCAGGGAGGCGGCGGTGGTGGAGGCAGCTTCAACGGCGGAGGCGGTGTCTCCTCTGGATATGGCGCCCCTCAGGGAGGCATCGGAGGAAGTTTCAACGGTGGGGGCAGCTTCAACGGTGGTGGTGGAGGCGGTGTCTCCTCTGGATATGGTGCTCCTCAGGGAGGCAGTGTCTCGTCTGGATATGGCGCCCCTCAGGGCGGCAACGGGGGAAGAAGCTTCAGCGGTGGTGGTGGAGGCAGTGTCTCCTCTGGATATGGCGCCCCTCAGGGAGGAAGTGTCTCGTCTGGATATGGCGCCCCTCAGGGAGGCAACGGAGGCAGCTTCAACGGTGGTGGTGGAGGCAGTGTCTCCTCTGGATATGGCGCCCCTCAGAGAGGAAGTGTCTCGTCTGGATATGGCGCCCCTCAGGGAGGCAACGGAGGCAGCTTCAACGGTGGTGGTGGAGGCAGTGTCTCGTCTGGATATGGCGCCCCTCAGGGCGGCAACGGGGGAGGAAGCTTCAGCGGTGGTGGTGGAAGCAGTGTCTCCTCTGGATATGGCGCCCCTCAGGGAGGAAGTGTCTCGTCTGGATATGGCGCCCCTCAGGGAGGCAACGGAGGCAGCTTTAACGGCGGAGGTAGCTTCAACGGTGGTGGTGGAGGCGGTGTCTCCTCTGGATATGGCGCTCCTCAGGGAGGCAGTGTCTCGTCTGGATATGGCGCCCCTCAGGGAGGAAACGGCGGCAGCTTCAACGGTGGTGGTGGGGGCAGTGTCTCCTCTGGATATGGCGCCCCTCAGGGAGGCAACGGCGGCAACGGCGGTGGATACGGAGGCGGTCAAGGCGGCGGTGGCGGAGACTCCAATGGTGGCTACTCTAAGCCCCGATCTTACAGCATCATCGAAGCTCCCGCTCGTCAGCCGTTCCGGGGTGGCTCGTCGCAGTTCTCCAGCGGCAAAGGAATCAGCGGAGGCACCATCTCGACCCGCTCCTTCTCGGCTCCGCGCATAGTCAAGGGCTCCTCTAAGCCATCGGGTGGAGGCGGCGGCTACGGAGGATCATCTGGAGGTGGATCCGGTGGATCCTCGGGTGGCTACAGCGCCCCGTCTTCCCAGTCCTCTGGAGGCTACAGTGCCCCATCAGCTCAGTCTTCTCAGCCTTCTGGAGGCTACAGCGCCCCGTCCCAGTCTTCTGGAGGTGGAAGCTACAGTGCCCCGTCTTCTCAGCCCTCTGGAGGCTACAATGCCCCGTCTTCTCAGCCCTCTGGTGGCTACAGTGCCCCGTCTTCTCAGTCTTCTGGAGGTGGTGGCTACAGCGCCCCGTCCCAGTCTTCTGGAGGTGGGGGCTTTGGCGGCCCGTCTCAGCTCTCTGGAGGCTACAGCGCTCCGTCTTCTCAGCCCTCGGGTGGCTACAACGCCCCGTCTCAGTCTTCTGGAGGTGGTGGCTACAACGCCCCGGCCCAGTCTTCTGGAGGTGGGGGCTTTGGCGGCCCGTCTCAGCCCTCGGGTGGCTACAGCGCCCCGTCTTCTCAGTCTTCTGGAGGCTACAGTGCCCCATCTCAGCCCTCGGGAGGCTACAGTGGCCCCTCATCTTCAGGCAGCTTCAGCTCCTCCCAGTCCTCGGCTGGAGGATACAGCTCTGGATCTTCCGGTTCCTCCGGTGGATTCAGCAGCGGTTCTGCTTCAAGCGCTGGTTATGGCAAATAATTACTCCTCCTATGCAGGGAGCACGATTAACTGCTTGGGCCCATTGATCATTCTTTCCACTTCTTTGACCATTAGTAGCACGTTGTGTCATTCATGACTTGTGTGAATGTTTTCAATATTTATCATATATTTATGAATGCTGTATGAATATGTGAAGGTGATTTGAAATAAATCAAGTTACAAAGGCATAAGTAAAATTTTACATTGTGTCTGTGTGTCGTTTTCGCAAGGTCTGTGTTATAGTCTTGTTTTGTACCGAAGAAAAATGAAATTCGTTAGAATCAAGTCAAGCCACGACAAATGAGTCACAAAGGGGTAGTTCTTTCATAGCTAAATCATAGCGTAAGAGAAATTGAGACCATGGGACAGTCAAGCCACGACAAATGAGCCACAAGGGGTGTGGTTCTTTCATAGCTAAATCATAGCGTAAGAGAAATTGAGACCATAGGACACATATAACATTGGCGTCGTGAGCGACAACATTCCGAATTTAAAACATGTAAGGCGCCTTATAGTAGGTAAATGATAAGACGGTGGAAAAAATGAGAAATGAAAAATATCTAGGCAGGATGGTCACATTAACCTTCATATTGCAATAACTCAATTGAAAGCACCATGCCCCTGCTTTACTTCACATGTCGCCCCTAAGGTAAGTCAGGATCAATGTATAGTAGGTTCTGACGCAGACGCTGCCTCCAGATATTCACGATCAAAACGCTTGCGCAAATCAGATAAATGGCCTGAGCGTCGACAAAATCTGTCTTGGAAAGGTAAACGAACATAACATTTTCAAGCAAAACAGACGTAGAGCACGACTTAAAGCCATGCATTGTCGACTCCCACTCCAGAGTCAGAGTCGGTAAGATTTAGGCGACACGGACTCTAACTCTGACTCCGACTCCCGGCATCTAACTAGAGCTATCGTTTCCGACCGACTCCGACTCCGACTTTGACTTCGACTTCGACTCCGCAGCCCTGCCTAAGACATAGGATGAATTGCCTTATAATGCATTATTTATACATGTATGACCCAGCAATAAAACCATGTGTCAAGGTCATCCGAGTTCACCTCTCATCAAACTTGACATTGGCCTTTTCCAAACAAATGGGCATTATCTGACGTGGTGTTGACGGCGGAGGTGTTCAAAACAAAGTCCTTATTCCAACTCCTTTATTTGATATTTGACTAAAGACTTTAGAATCGGGTATCTACTGTTTATTGTCTTCCTCTCGTGGTGAGAAGCATCAGCATGCTCGTTTTCCCGCGAAACTCCGGCTCATTCGCCACAAATCTCCATTTGTCGGTTTGCAAAATTATCTGGGCTGAATATGGGCTGTCTTGACGGACATTGCAAAATTGTGTTCTAAGAACCCTAGGCACTATAAGCGATCGAGTGCGTTCTTGCCCTCACTGGCAAGCACAAATGCTAAAAGCAATTACAAAAAAGGCTGTCCTCCAGTCCCAAAGTTACATCTTGCACATTTTTCGCTCCTGAAAATAAAATCCGTTCACACACGGTATTCTTCTTGATCTCCATCGCCCATTCCTTTCACGTTTTTCACCCACAAGATAAACAGATGACAATTCTCGCAACTTTTACTCCCCGTTGCTCCACAAAAGCATCGCCTCGCAGCTGCCGGGCCGACCTAGCAGCGAGGGAGCACCGACCGCAATAGAAGGTGAGAGAGCACCCCTCCCCCCTCCTCGGAGGTGTCGGCAGCGGCCTTGGGGTCCCGGTTCGCTCCCATTAGTGTTCACGTGCCAGCAGTCGCGTTGCCCACACTAGGTGAGACGATGGCCTTTCCCTTTCGCAAGCTATTGTGCACCGGCGTGTTTCAGCAATATTCGTGTACGGCCGAGGAGTGAATCACGTACAGCCAGCTTGTGTAACGCTGAGCGAGGATGGCGCCTGATCTACATTCATCCAGTACAAATTGTCACGAGTTTCGCTTTATTTATTACAGCGTTATCATGTGCACAGAAAACAATAAATACGCGTAGCACATTACATCGGGTACAATGAGCATGAGCTGCAGATGCTGTCTGGGAGGTATAGAAAGCTCTGTTTCTAGATGAGCGCCGATGGGCCTCTTTGCCTTCGCTTTGACACTGGCTGTGATATGGCCTTACTTGCCGTACCCGTTGCTGGAGGATGCAGGAGGGATGTAGCTGTTGGAGGGAGCCGACGACTGGCTGTAGCCGCCAGATGATGAGGACGAGCTCGAGCTGTAGCCACCACCAGACGACTGAGACGGGGTGAAGCCACCGTAGGTAGGGCTGGGAGGATTGTAGCCTCCTGAAGAAGAGGAAGAGGGCCCACCGTAACCTCCTGAGGGCTGGGACGGGGCACTGTAGCCTCCCGAAGGCTGAGACGGGGCACTGTAGCCTCCCGAGGGCTGAGATGGGGCACTGTAGCCTCCCGAAGGCTGAGAAGACGGGGCGCTGTAGCCTCCCGAGGGCTGGGAAGACGGGGCACTGTACCCTCCTGATGGCTGAGAAGATGGGGCACTGTAGCCACCCGAGGGCTGAGAAGACGGGGCGCTGTAGCCACCCGAGGGCTGAGAAGACGGGGCACTGTACCCTCCTGATGGCTGAGAAGACGGGGCGCTGTAGCCACCCGAGGGCTGAGAAGACGGGGCGCTGTAGCCTCCGGAGGGCTGGGAAGACGGGGCACTGTAGCCTCCTGATGGCTGAGAAGACGGGGCGCTGTAGCCGCCCGAGGGCTGGGAAGACGGGGCGCTGTAGCCGCCCGAGGGCTGAGATGGGGCGCTGTAGCCGCCCGAGGGCTGGGAAGACGGGGCACTGTAGCCGCCACCTCCAGAAGACTGAGACGGGGCGCTGTAGCCACCAGATGGCTGGGAAGATGGGGCACTGTAGCCGCCCGAGGGCTGAGAAGACGGGGCGCTGTAGCCGCCCGAGGGCTGGGAAGACGGGGCACTGTAGCCGCCCGAGGGCTGAGACGGGGCGCTGTAGCCTCCAGAAGGCTGGGACGGGGCACTGTAGCCACCGCCTCCAGAAGACTGGGACGGGGCGCCGTAACCTCCAGAAGGCTGCGAAGACGGGGCGCTGTAGCCACCCGAGGGCTGGGAAGACGGGGCGCTGTAGCCGCCCGAGGGCTGAGATGGGGCGCTGTAGCCACCAGATGGCTGGGAAGACGGGGCGCTGTAGCCTCCTGAGGGCTGAGACGGGGCACTGTAGCCTCCAGAAGGCTGAGCCGGGGCGCTGTAGCCGCCCGAGGACCCTCCAGACGATCCTCCGTAGCCGCCACCTCCTGACGACTGCGAAGTTCCCTTCACGATGCGGGGAGCGGAGAAGGTGCGGGTCGAGATGGTTCCGCCGCTGATGCCCTTACCAGAGGAGAACTGAGAGGAGCCACCGTAAGACGGCTGGCGAGCGGGAGCCTGGATCACGCTGTTAGCTCGCGGCCGGGAGTAGCCGGAGCTGCCGCCGCCGCCGCCGCCGCCGCTGCTGTAGCCTCCGCCGCCGCCGCCGCCGCCACCGCCACCGCCGCTGCTGTAGCCGCTGTCGCCGCCGCTGCTGGGCGCTCCGTAACCCTGTTCGACGATGTCGTTGGCCTGAGGAGCACCATAACCCTGGCTAACGCTCCCTCCGCCTCCACCGCCGCTATATCCGCCGCCGCCGCCGCCGCCGCTGCTCGGGGCGCCATATCCCTGCTGGACGATATCGTTAGCCTGAGGAGCTCCGTAGCCCTGGCTCGAACCACCGCCGCCGCCGCCACCGCTGCTGTATCCACCGCCACCGCCTCCGCTGCTCTTCGGCAGACCGAAACCGATGACCTCTCCGCCGAGTCCCTTGGGCCGTCCTCCGCCGCCTCTGGGTGCGCCGTAGCCGCCCCCTCCTCCACCTCCCCGGCCGCCGCCACCGTCGGCGAGGCACAGGCCGACCAGCAGCAGAGCGCTGCAGGTCTGTGGATCACAAAGGAGTCAGGTCAGACGACACGAATCAGATGATAGGTGACGATATGACGCACAGATTATGATCCGTGATAGAGTGCATGAAACAACTCTTCGAAAAAAAACTTCATGAAGTTCTCAAATTGATGCAAAAGTTAATTACCAATGACATATTGTCGGGGATATGCGTCATTATTATCTTCATCATCTCAAAATCAACTTATAGGAAACGGCAAATAGCTGAGTTTTGTCACTTCTCTCCCTAGCTAGGTTTCATCCGTTCACTGAAGCCGGCTCTCTTTGATGCACTGCGCTGGCACGCTTACCTTGAACGCGTTCATGTTGTGACTGGAGCGCTGCTCTGGGCAGACTGACGATGCGGAGTCGCTGCCCAGTTATATAGCTCTCCATCTGCACTGGCCCGCTGCCGGCCCTGCGAAGGCCGCCGGCGATGTTAGGCAGTGAAAGGCGCCTCGGGCGGGGTGCCCCGGTCAGCCGCCGTCTTAGCGGCACGGGCGACGGAACAGCAGCGAGCAACGGAGCAGCTGATCATGCCCTTATTCATTATCGGCGTTTTAGTCCGTCTTCTTGTCTCTTCCCCTTGCCGTCTTTTGGTATGAATTACCTCCATCCTTTTTCCATGCTATCCCATTTAATTAGATGATCACTGAAGATAAGATAAGATAAGCTTCGAGCATGTCTCTGATTTACGTCCGCATGTATGGGGCGAATTTTAGCACCCGTCGCTCGTCAACATGTAATTGTTCTTTAGGAGGCAACACAACAAGACAATGTGAAATGTTGACAATGTAGGGAGGTTGTTTCTTCCATCATCTTTACAGTTTTATCTTGTGTCCAATAGCTGTGAAGTATTTCGTCCCACTCAGAATGAATGGCATAGCGTCTTGTAGGTAGCGTGGATGTTTTACCCATAAAGCGGTCTATGACCTTGTCCTTCTTCCAAAAATAGCTGAAAGGCACGCAGCTATTTCATGTGCCCGTGAAAAGCACGTTCAGTTCGTTCGGGCTCAATTTATTTTGATTCAGTTGGTGTTATAAGTGTGAAGCAAAACTAAAACAGTAAAAGAAATACAACATTAGTTCATCTGCGCAAAATGTTAACCCGGCGGCCGCTGGGCCTCCGCGCCACCCGCCGGCCGCTGGGGGGGGGGCATATAGTTGCCCCCCCCCTTTACTTCTGCGACGATATCGTCGCAACGCGAAGAGATAGAGAAGCGAAACTTTGCACACATCTTCCTGAATACCTAGCCGAGGTTGTGTCCAAATTTGGTGTCGATCCCATTTGAAATGACGTCACAGTAACGTCATCAGTGAAATTATATATTTGCGACTCTCATATTCCTCACGATACATCAGATATATGGGACCGAATATAAAGGGTCGATTATTGGTCAGAAACTAGATGGAAGTGTAGTTAGATGTTTTAGGATGACAGCAGGTGCTGTCTAGTTCATTTACAGTTGTGTTTCATGCTCAGCGTCATCAGAAACGGTCCATATCGGAAAACGACAAAACTGTATGACGTCACTGTGACGTCATCTTAGGTGCTACAACCACCAAACTTTTCTCAAACATTGCCTAGGTATTCATTTGAAGCTATGCCAAGCTCATCAGGTTTCAGAGATATTTCATAAAACGTAAAGGGGGGGGCAACTTTATGCCCCCCCCCCCCAGCGGCTCGTGGGTTAAACAAAAATTAACGTTCTACAAGAGAATTGTCTTTCGGTGTACCAGACCTACCTACATACGTGGCATTAACCCTCGCATGTGTGCGGCGTTTGCCAGCTTCTAACTTGTAGGGGGGGGGGGTCGGTTGGACCCCCCTCTTGCCGTTTGGCCCCTGATCGACCTAGAGCTTCGTGGGAAAAAAGGGGCGTGCTACCCGTGACGAGAGCAAGCCGATGGTACCCAATTTTAAGGTCCTAGGTCATTGTATAACCTTCCAGGTCAGGTCAATGACCCAAAGGTCGGAAAAATCGGGACCTGTTAGAAAGTCGTAAAGTGTGGCTGCTATTGGTTTTTTTCGGGGTGCTGATCACAAATATCGTGTTAGTTTTGATCACAGATGATGTCTTTAAGCATTTAGACCAGGTCAGGTCAGGTTAGGTCAACCAGTAGGGGTCGTGGCGGGTATTCGTAGTACGTGTCAACCGCCTGTGACAGCTTCGTAACATGCTACGAAGGCACCAAAGCTACTTCGTAAATGTTCAGCTGGTTACTAAATTCGAATTCAGCTCCAAAAACTAGCTTTGAAACATGTAAAACTCGAAAAAGTGAATCGAGGTCACCAAAGGTCAGTGACCTGATCTGACCTTCAAGTGACCTTGACATCCACCCTAATGCATGGGAGAAACATCAACTCACATATTTGAATGCTTGAAACCACGAAAAGACTGCAAACGCGCAGCTAATGCGAGCCGACATACGCCGAATCGCTATTACGGCCAAATATGGTCTCGGAGAGTAGGTCACAGGTCAAAGGTAATTTGGGTCAAGGTCATGAAAATTTTAGGATGGGTGTAAAAGTGATCCACGCGAGGGTACTGAAAGTTTCGTCGCGATCGGCCGCTTTTTGCGCGAGTTATTTGCGAAAAAAACATGGTCCATCCGACCCCCCTACACATGCGAGGGTTAATTCACTTTGCAGCTTTAATAGAAATAGGAAGGTATCCCTATGTGTCAGAAAGATGGATTTCGCCTCGCACGCTTACGACGCTTCATCGGTCTCGTTTACAGTTGATGAAAGCACAAGCAGCGACCCAGTTCATGTTCGTCACTTTTCAGTGTGTTTCTGGAGCGATACAATGATGCTGATCATATCACTGCATCAGATACATTCACTTCCTTTATCGTAAGTCCATACCAGTGTACACGTCACGGCCAATAGTCAAAGAGAGATTCCTTTGTCCGGTGTTTCCGTCTTGCAATAAAACTCTGGTGCTCCGCGATTGCAATGCACTTCCGCTCAATCCTTTCGACGAGTAACCACGGAAGACTCGGTGAAACTGCTATCGTTTAGGTAGTTTGGCGCTGATAAGCATTGTCCCTGAGTCGGTACTCGCAGACTGAAATAATAGTGTGGGAAAGACGTCTTGTTATGGTGCCAAGGAGAATTGATTGGTTGCCGAGAGTATGCGAACTTCTTTCTCCTTTTGTACTTGATACAATGCTGAGCGTATAAGTGTTTGTATACCCTATTTGTGTAAAGCTTGACTTAATAAGTCAGTCGTCGCTGGCAAATTGTGCTATTTCCGTCTCGTGCCTTACTCGTGATTTTCTTAACATAAATCTGATTGAAGTATTTTGAATACATTATATTGACCTTTTCGTACCGATTCCATGTGGCCTGGCTCAGGGACGGCCAGGCTCGGCGGTGAACACTTCTCTGAAGCCTGCTTTGTCGCCTTTTGTTCCTGCCGCTTGGAGTGTGAAGTCGTTCTGAAGACCTGCCCTTGCCGGCCGTTGGAGGTAACTAATCATTGTCACACACGATGGTCAAGGTCGTGCGAATTGCAAGATAATCACTTGTTCGTGTATAAGGGCTGGATAATTGCTCAGGCGGCAATTGCGACTTATCTCCAAACACTGCATTGCTTTGTTCATTGGATGGCAGAGGTAATGAACAAGGGGATAATAAGTAAATAAGGGAATAAGAGGTAATGAATAAGTGAATAAGGGAAAAAGAGGTCATGAACAAGGGGATAATGAATAAGCACGCTTCAAATATTTTGACAATTGCTATAGTTTGTAGCGTATTTCTGTTCCAAGAAAATAAAAGAACAAACGTAGCGTATAAAGCGATACATAGATAGTATATTTGTGCATGGAATTCACTTGCATGTCGCCTCTCGTTATCTGGCCTGGGAGATGATAGATGCTGAGAAGTGACTCATGTTCATCCTCGCCCTCAGCAAAAACGGCCGGCCTTGTCATTTTTTTTTCAGAGTCCGTTTGTTCGACGACACTCAATTTAATTATTAAAGTTACAAGGTAAGCACGTCGTTGCTCCATGTCTCTCAAGTTAAGGGTAAACGAGGCAGGCTGAAGAACTAAGTATATGTAAGAAGACGTGCGAAGGATAATGGCTTTGCAGAAGAGCCGTTTTCGTCCCGCCGTCTATTTATCTGAGATTACCCGTGCCTGGCCCCATGCAATGGATGCTGTTGCGGCCGGTCAGCCGACCGGGTGAAGGGTCACTTTTGCAAGCTGTCACTTTGCATGTGCCCGGCCGGTGTATTGGTTGACGGGCTTGCCTCGCGGCGCGAGGTGGGTCGGGTGGGGGTAACAGACATGTCCGGAACGCCGGGAAGGCAGGTATACAAAGGTAACTATCTGGCCGGAACAGTTGGCCACGGGGCGCCATCTCAACTGGGTCGGACCGCGGACGGGACAGGACGCACAAATGCATCTTGCGTGTTTCAGTTAGTGATCACATACATGCCATCCTCGCTGTCGCCAAATGTTCATTGTGTCGGATACATTGTGCTGTCATAAGGTGGTGAGTGCAGATGCTATTGTGCAAATAAATAGGCAAATAAACAATAATAAAAAGTAGAAAGCGAAAATTAGCTTCACTGTACATATTGCACTTAACTGTGCCTGTTGCTGGACTGGATAAATATGCCTGATTATTTTCTAACCGTCCAACTATTCCTAGAATTCATGCAAAAAGCTTCATAAGGCTGATGAAGTGATATGTTTCTAATGATAGGTAAATACCTGAAATCATGAACAGGAAAATGAGCTGTTTCAATCATCAGCCACTCCGCTCGGGTGCGATGACATCACAAACTCACGATGACGTGCAGTAGTCGACACTTGCCTCACTCTATAATGACGACTTTATACCACAGCTCCCACACCTCTCAACCGTCATATTTAGTCATCTAGAACGACCAAACATGTCAAGCATGCACATCAGTTGACCCGAGCTGAAGATCTCCAGCCTCCACTCCAGTCGCCACTCGCCCAGTGTGCCATCTCCTCCAGTCCTATACTGACCGGGACAGAACCCCGACGAGCCTTGCTCCGGCGAGTGGTGCCGTTTCGTCACGGCTCGGTCCGACGTGCGAGCGCGGTTGCTTCACGTGCCACTGTCGTTTGCCGCGCCTCTCACACGGTCCCCAGGGCAGGGGAATGGAGTTCTTGCAGCGGCTCGTGACAGCGTGCTCGACCCGAACTCTCCTCCGTGGGCTCGTGGGTCTTTGGGTCCGTGGGTCCCTGGATCCGTGAGTCTTGGGTGCGTGGATCCATGGGTCCGTGCCATTGGTCCGAAGCAGTACATATTTTTGTTTCAATGGAGAAAATCAGTTTTGTGTTGTTTTTTATTCGTGTCGATTTGATTTGATTGTTTTGCGTTGAGGTGTTTTCATAATAAGGTATTCTGAGATCTTAGTATTGAATTAGGTCCAGATGACTATTTTCTA